GCAACTCGCTACCTACTACTACTCCCGCTCCGGCCGACTACTCCCGCTCCGGTCGACTACCTCCTACTACTACTCCCGCTCCGACTGACTACTCCTACTACCACTCCCGCTCCGACGACTACTCCTACTACCACTCCCGCTCCCACCACTACTCCCGCTCCGACGACAACTCCTGCGTCCGTCCCTACCCCACCTCCCGTATGCGAATGTGAGGAGAGCTGCACTGATGGGCCCTGTGCGTGTGACTGTCCTGCCGTGGTTATCAAGCTTCGTAGAAGGCATATGAAGTTGCATATGGACCTTGAGAACGACAGCTAAATCATTTTTGAAGGCAAAACTGGACAAAAACAATGATTTTAAATGGTCAATTACAGACCCGAAAATGGTACGATAAAGTCAAAGGGAAAGTCTTGTCGGCTTTCTGGTAGGATGCGCAACGTCTATCTATCTCAAACGGATTGGTAAATTTTGCTCTTATTTTGAGTTTATAGTTGTGTATAGTTAAGAATGAAGTTGTTCACAATTGTTGCCTTCTACAACCTGTCTGCTCCCCGTTGATGTGATGATCCTTCGGGACACCACTAAACGTTTTCTGGAGGATTTGCCTAACGTGGCTTCCAACATCCCAACGGTTGTTGAGCGTGTCTTGGAGCAGAATCCGGGATCGTACCTCGGAGCTGCCGAATTCCAGGATAAGCCTTACAGGGATTTGGGTGAGCCAGATGATTTCTGCTACAGGCTCGCCAACAGTCTTGTCCCGGATTCCGAAACCTTCCAAAAGGCTTACAACACTCTGTACGCATGTGGAGGTGGAGATCTGCCCGAGGCCCAGCTCCAGGCTCTTATCAACGTGGCTACGGACGCCAGTGCTGGGTGGAGAGCCCTTGTGAACACTAGACGACTAACCACCCTGGACTATTCTTCCCAAACAGGCGCATGGTTGGTCATCCTTTCAACTGATGCAGTTCCCCATGATCCCGAAGATTACAACTTCTACAATGGCGTCTGGGACGACTATCTCGCTGATGAGCCCGGACTTCCCTAGAGCATGCCTACGTTCCCTGACGATATCACCAATATCTCAATCACAAACCAATGCAGAGTCTGTGACTACCCTACTATGGCACAGGCTGCCGCAGTCCTGAAAGCATACAATATTAATGTTGTGGTCCTAGTGCCCCAGGTAGAAACGAATGCAGTAGAAAGATGGACGGAGTTCATCACCACCTACATGGGCCAACCAGCGTCCTTCCTCCAGTACATCCAACCGGACTCCAGTGATATCGTTGAAGTTGTTGTTAAGGCCGTGGTTGAAGTCTCGGACTATGTCTGCAACACTACGACACCTGCCCCTGCTGAAACTACTGCTACCACGCCCGCTGCCACCACCACCCCCGTTCCGACGATTACTCCCGCCACTACTTCCGCTCCGACGACTGCTTCTCCACCACTCCAGGTCCGACGACGAATCCTGCGACGGTCACTACCCCGGCTCCCGTATGCGTGTGTGAAGAGAACTGCACCGATGGGCCTCGTGAATGCAAGTGTCCTCAGGTGGTCATGAGCTCCGCAGAACAAGTTACACATGGACCTCGAGAACGACAGCTAGATCATTTTTTAAAAACTCCTCCGAGACATCCAATGAGTTTGAATGGTCGATTAGATACAAGAATAGGTCAAGAAGAAGGCTTAAAAAGCGTTCGTTCTAGAACGCCGCCATTCACGCGAGGCGAGCATAGCAATCTGCCTGGAGCGTGGCGGTGGGGGCTAATTCAATTCACGACAATTCTACAGCTCTAATTGATTGCCCTCCCCAGTCCCGCTTTGTTCCGTTGCGCTCCAGAAGTCGGTCACAAAAGTCCAGCTAGCCGCATGGCTCTGTCAGTGCAGCGACGATGGCACTCTTTTGGCTCATTGACAATTGGCTGCAGGCATTTCGTATCGTGTGTTGACGGAGGGAGTGGGCAAAAGCGGGGTGCTTACGTGGGGAATACGATTTCGAATTCGACGATTAGGTCGCCTCTTCTTCCGGTTGTTTTCTGGCATGGCATTCCTTCTCTGGCGATAACTCGGCGTGTTTTGGGGGTAATGATCGAAGGGGCATCCACTCTGAGCTTGCGACCATCGAGAGTGTCTATCTCCACGGTGGTGCCGATAAAACAGTCCCTCAAAGAAATCTTAGCAGTGTAGATAAGATGGTCGTCCTGCCTGCTGAACCGCGGGTGCGGGACAATTCGCAAGAGGAATATTAGGTTGCCGGGCTTCTGATGTGGGCTATCCTGCTGACCCTCCCCGTTAAACGTAATTTTGGTACCGTCCTTCCAGCCGGGTTTGACATCAATGTTCAATATCGTGTCTTCGTCTCGACGGATACCCTGGGTAGTGAATCGCGCGCGATTTACTTTCATCCGCTTCGTTGCTCCCTTGTACACATCTTCCAGGCTAACTGACAGCTCTATCTCGTTGTTCTGGCTGTCTGGAGTCTGCTGACGACCGTTCTTTCTCCGGTCGGTTGCGAACCCCCACTCATCGTCAAAGAAATTCGCATTGTTTCCGAAGAACCTGGAGAATATATCGGAGGCATCAACTCCAGTATAGTGAGTGGTAAATCTAGCATTCACGCCAGGGCCAAATCCGCCGGTTGGGGCACCACCATTCTTCAGTCCCTCTTCTCCCACCTGATCATAAATCTCCTTCTTCTTGGGGTCACTCAAGACATCGTATGCCTCAGCTATATCCTTAAACTTTTCTTCGGCTTTCGCTTTTGCAGCTGGCTCCGTATGTTTGTCCGGGTGCCATTGCATTGCCCCTTTCCTGAATGCTTTCTTCAGGTCTTTGGTGTTAGCAGTCTTGGGAACCCCGAGTATGGCATAATAATCCTACAATACACCCACTGAAACGAGCGCACACGCGTGTGCGCGCAACATATTGTGTTCCGTTACTTTGCCCATGGGACTTTGTAAAAAATATTGGACTTAAAAAGCACATCAACTAGCAATATAAACCGGCCGGCACTATAAAAGATAACCACAACCAACTGAGTCGGACAAACCAAACAAGCGAGAGCTGGGAGCCGGGACAACCAAATCCGTACGGTCCGACAACTGGTGGTGTAATGATGTCGTATTTCCAACAGCAAGTCAGGCGAATGTGACGGAGGGCAGATCGGATGGCTCCGGACTCGGGCGGAGCAGAGTATAGCGGATAAGGCGGAGGGCAGACCAAGTGACTCCGGACTCGAACAGACAAGGCACTCCGGGTGGATTGAATCTCTCGCAGTCTTCGGGAAGTTGACGACGCGTGTCAAGAGACGTCGAGGTCTGAGGCGGTGGTGGCCCGGGCGGCGCTACTGGTCCGTGTTTTCATCGTGGGTGTGTACAGCCTGGGTGGCTGCGGGGTGGTGAGAATTGAGTTGCTGGGTACTTTGGGAAGAGTCAGCAGATTGGGATGCACGTTGGCGAAGACAGAGGCCTGTATTTTGGAGGAGACGAAGTATTTGGCGGAGAGCGAGTTGGAGCTGTGCAGCCAGGGGTGTTGGAGTGCCGTGGTGGCGCTGGACAGGCGATACTCCGGTTGGAACTGGAGCAGCTGGATGCACAGACTCCGGGCCTGGGGAAAGTACGTGAGAGGGTAGGCGTCGAAGTTGATACCCTTCTGCTGCACCTTCTTGAGCGTCTCCAAAGTGGATGAGGCCGACCTCATTTCATTCATCGGTACCGGGGGCACTCCAGTCATCAGGATGAACAAAATGACCCCAACTGCCCACAGGTCGCTCGCCGGGGAGTAGTCCGCGCCACGGAGTAACTCAGGCGCCATGTAATTGAACGTCCCAACCAGCCGACGCTTGCTGCCCTGCCAGTCGCTGTATTCGTGGCTAGGAATGTCCAGCATGCGTACTGTGTCAAAGTCTATCAACACCAGTTCGTAATTCTCCAAGTATCGACTGAGTGACTCCATCATTATGGGGCCCGGGTCTTCCTTGGTGCACGGGAACACGACTTTCTCGCCCTTTATGCTCCGCCGAAACATCAAGTTCTCAGGCTTCACGTCTCTGTAGCACAATACCATGAACTGAGCACCTTGAATCCAAGGTCCCCCAAGGGTTCCTGTCCCTTCCCACCCAAGGGTTCCTGTCCCTCCCCACCCAAGGGTTCCTGTCCCTCCCCACCCAAGGGTTCCTGTCCCTTCCCACGCAAGAGTTCCTGTCCCTCCCCACCCAAGGGTCCTTCCCTACCTGTGGACAAAATTATGGCTGTGAAGGAATTCCAATGAGAGCAGAATCTGCCGGATGATATGCTTGCACAGCTCCTCGGGGACGCTGACCTCTTGCAATAGGAAGTTGAAGAGTTCACCCCCCTTTAGCACTTCGGTGACAAGGTAATAACGTTCGGCATCTTCGAGAATACCGTAGGTCATGAGGAAATTGGGATGGAAATGAAGATGCAATATCCTCGCGCAAAGTTCACCCCACAACCTCTCACCACCTGTAGACGTTGGCAGAGTGCTCTTGTGTATAACTTTTATGCACACTTCCAAACCAGATGTAATCTCGCGTCCCTGAAATATTATCGGCCTCGCCACGCTCAAACCAGTCTCCGGCAAAATGCCCGATAAGAAACTGTTCGCAATCCGACTTCCACTACCTTCGCCACCTCCACCAGCAATCAATCTTTCAAATCGAAAATATTCCACTATCGGTCGCACCACCAACTTCATTACTTCCCTCTGAGGCACGGTAGATCGGAACCATCCACTCAGATAACGCATCGAAAAAGATCCAACACACGCAGGGAAAACAAACCAATGCTCCTAAGGAAAACCTTCCATCAAAGTACGACCCCGTGTTGTAATCTGTCCAAAGACGGCGTCACCACAAACTAGCGATCGCCCAAGTCTGTCAACGACCAAGTCACCTCCACTATTTGCTTTCCGTCGGTGGCACCGTAAACCCTCCTGCTCCAGCTTGTCCGGGCGTCTTCTGGGGTCGACGAGACCCACAGCATTTAGCTCATCGTTACCCGGGGACATTCCAGTTATCAGGGTGAATAAAATGACCTTAATTGCCCACAAGGTCACTCGCCAGCGAGTAGTCCTCGCCCCGCACCAACTCAGGCGGAATGAACGGCCCAACCAGCCGACTCTTGCCAACTAAGACGCACACTAGTCTGTCAACTCTCGTTCGTAATCCTCAAAGTACCCACTCAAGAGGCTCCATCATCATCGAATCATTATCGCGTCAGAGATCGGACCCGGGACTTCCTTGATGCACGGGAACACCACCTTCTCGCCCTCTATGCTCCTCCGGAACATCAAGTCCTCCGGTTTCATGTCCACCTCACAGGTAGGCAAGAAGTTCTTGCCTACCGGTTCCAGTGAGCGGGAGCGGTTCTTGCGGTTCCAGTGAGAGCGAGACCTGTCGGATGATACGCTTGGCCGGTCCCCCATACCACACATTCCCTCTACACATCAAGGGGTGGCAGCGTGCACTTGTGAATAACCTTGATGCATGCAAGTCCGACGAAGTCTCGTGTTCTCATCCGTTTCGCCTCACTCAAGCCCCGGCCGGCTCAGGCAAAGAACCCGATAAGAAGCTACCCGCAGAGCAACTACCATGCTCTCCGTCTCCGCATAAATCTCAACCAGAACCGCTCCACTATCGGCTGCAGTCTCAATTTTTATCACTTCCCTTTGTGCCTGGAAAGACTCACCAAGACTGCGGATCGAAAAGACCTAACACGAGAGGGAAAGGGAAAACAAGTGGATTCCTCCCGGAAGGAAAAACCCCTGGTCTTACTCCAGTGCAGAGCGCGACAGTGCTAATGAGACACTGCCGAAGTGATAGTGTCCAATGCTGCCTTCTGCCCGTCCGCGTTGGTCGGCTCTTGATTCATATCAGACTTCCGGTCTACGACAGCGTCATTGTTGACTATGAGGTGTGACCATGAAATGTGACCATGAATGTGACCATGAAATGTGACCATGAATGTGGGTCAGAGAATGCACTCCAGCACTTTAGGTGTGAAACTGACACTTGGTGTGTGGCACCGGCATTTGACACAGGGTGTATGGCGTTCAGTCTTGGGTACATGATGGGTGTGTGTGGGTGCATGATGAGTGTGTACTTTTTTGCAGGATGGAGAGGAGTCGATCATAACTGTTTTTGTCAACTTGTTTGAGGCCTTGGACAACGGCAGTAAGTGACTCTTTGCAGAGATCGACGACTCGGTCACGAATGTAAGTTTGCCGGAGTGCATGTAATCTGCGTGAGAGGTCTTGAATGGAGCGGCAAGCCCATTGGACGAATTCCTGAGAATTGTCCGAACAGTGTCCAGATTCGGCGGCCCAGTCGCAGATAAGTTTTTGTGCCTGTTGTATAGTGAGTTTTGGGTTATGTTTGATGGCTTCATTGCGTAGATTATAAAGGATGAGTTGTCGTCGGAATCTCCAGTAGAATACTTGTCGGCTGGATTCCCAAGACACAATGTTTGTGATGGCTTTCTTTCTTTTCATCCGTATGGCGGTATCATGAAGATCTGCGAAGTGCACAGCAACTTGTCGCATTACGGGCATTATGTGTTCGAGTCGACGACCTAATTGCTCTTCAAGTTGGATTAGTCGTGCGTCGCCGCTGGTTACGCCCGCCCGAGTCAGCAGCGCAATGGCGTCCGTAATGCGTCGCAGCTCTGAATCCGACCGGATTGCCGCGTCCCGTAAGGCCTTGTCACGAAACTTGATCTCGACGGTCCCATTAGGCTGCATGACGCCGCCTCGTGAGTCCGGCGCTGCGAACATGTCCATGTGGTCGGGATTTATCCGCGGATCTACAACGACCCATGCGCCACCACGCAGTTCTCCTTTGGGCGGTACGTACACCAGACACGGCTGTCGGTACTCGACCAACGCATCCACTATCATACTGCCGAACTTCAGCACCTCGTGGAACATGTCACGCTGTCCTCCGGAAAAACCTCGCCAATTAGCTACCACCAGCAGCGGAATTTCCTCTTTGTTAAAATCGTAGATCGCCTGCGCCGTCTTATACGCGCTCTCAGGAAACCACACCTGTCCCGCCCGAGTCAAGCGCTGCTCACTACTCATCGGCATGGCAGGGTCCGCCGGAATCAACGTTTCCGTCACCCGCGTCTCAACCAGAATAACGCCCACTGGTAACCCACCCAGCCGTCCACGACCAGTAATAACTGAACGCGCCCAGCCCTCCATGACCTCGCGGAATGAGCCCTTGTCCAGTAAGCCGCCCAGCCAGCGTCCATTCGCGTCCACACAGCCGGTCATCATGAAGCGCGGGTCGTCTGTGAGCGAACTCGGCTGGTACTCGATCCGCCGACTGATAGGATCATTTGGGTCAATCATCACCGGCAAAGGCCCCTCACGGTGCTCTGGCACGAACGATAGCCAGTCCAGTATCGCCTCGCACCCCTCCAGGTCCGTCCGGACCACCTGATGCGTGACGCCGTTCTTAAACATCACGTCCGGTCCGCCGATCTCATTGTTCGAAGTGTACACATGTCGCCCAATGAGCCGATTCAGCGCCTGGAAACCCGTTAAGAGAATGGGAGCACCGTTTTCCTTCTGGATCACCCGATGTCCTAACCTCGCTAAGTATGCCCCGATACCCACTGTGCGGCCGGTCACATACGTGATGGTCACCGCCTCCTTGTACGCACGCGCCGTTTCGCCGGCTATGGCCGCCGAACCGCATAAGTTTTCGACGCCGAGCCCGATCTGCTGTCCGATCACATCTACGATGCGCCATATTTGGCCTTCGCTGGCATGTTCCATTGGTTCTGCAATCACCACGTCCGGCGGCAATGCCTTGTAGTCCTCGTCCGTCAAGTAAATGAACTTGAAGCCCTGCTTCGGGTTGCGCGGGTCTATCCACTCTACGCGGAACGTTTGCTGGATTTCCGGTGCCAGACCCATCCGTGCGCCAGAATTTACGGCGATGTAGATACGCGGAATGCCTTGCTGACGTGACATCTGCGAGGCCCGCTGGAATAGCAAGTCCTCCTGCACACCGAAGGTGCCCATAGCGTATGTGACATCATTTCCAATTATGATTAGACGACGTCCTTTGGGGAACTCTGGAGTGCGCAACAACACCTTCCAAGCCACCATACCGCAGTCATTTTGCCCAATGGGCCGCAGGACCTCTTGCAAATCGCCTCGTTTATCCAAAGCCAACTCAATCACCTCCACCACTTTGTCTGGTACTAAAATCGTCGGCCCCGCCTCCACCTCCCCTCCCGGGTGCGCATCCTCCTCTCCCGTCCCGAGTAAATACTTTGGACATCGGCGCCACATATTACGCACCGCAACCTCCAAGAGGTCTATAAAATCGTATATGTACATTGTTTGCAACGCAGCCGCGGCAGACCGCTTCGATTCCAAACGACCGGCCCACGGGTGCGGTGTGTCTATGGGTTTGCCGTCATAGTCCTCGTTATTGCTCGAGTTAACCGCCGTGGATGTGGGATTCGACTTGAGAATTAAAGTTGACAGCGCATCTCCCGAATCCAACGCAGCAAACACCCGTTCGCCAGTGCTCGGGTTCTGGATTTCCACGTAACGCCGGCAACGTAAACTCTGGCCCGATGGATTCTCCAGGATTATGCGGTACGGGTAAATACCATCCGTCAAAGCCGGACTCCCGTGCTCCCGATTTATCTGCCCGACGCCCCGAGTCTTAAACCGAAACTCGATTGTAGTCGCATGCAACTTTATTAACCTTTTCTCGTACCGCTCATATATATCTCTAGCTATTTGCTCTGCCATACTCGGGGTCAACTTCACCGAATTAGGCTCTTCCGCCGGTCGGTTCTTCTTCGATTTTAAGATAGAGTCACTAATATACTGTACAGAAATAAGAATGTGATTATTAGTACTGGGCCTCGCAGCCTCTCTCAGCGACATTTGCAGAAAGTTTAACCCGCTAACAAAGACACGCTCCTGCTCAAATAAACCCATCTCGCTGGTTAAAGGTTTCGCAACATTCACAATCATCCTCACAAAATAACGACTCGCCTGTTCATTCGTATTCTTCGGAATGCCCTTGATTACGTGTACATGACTGTTGCCGTTCGTGGTCGACTTGATACACTTGAACCGACTTAGTCGCTTCAATTCCAAATACTGGAACAGTGGCATCTCACAGTTCCTCAAAATTCCCTCTTCCTCCCATTCCTCATCAGCCGTACTATTCATATTCCGGTGGTAAGGCAACTCGCGGACATTCCGGTAGTAAAAGAACTTCAATGATGGCGTCTCCGCAGGCAAGCGATCGTCTAGATCTGTCTTGTTCGATAAACGGCCGCTAGCCAAACGGCCACTAGCGCCACCAAAGTCGCTACCTACACCCGCGCTCGTGCCTATACCACTACTCACACCGCTTCCTTGTCCGTAAAGGCCGATGTCACTGAAGGCGCTGGTCGGCTCCGTGTCCGCTTCAACAAAACAATTTTCTTGGCACAAGTAACTCACCCACACCAGGTTCGTTTGAAGCGCACTGAGCAAGTCCGTGCAACTATTCAATGCACCCCGGAAATCAATGGTGTTCGGTTTACTCACGTCCACTACTACACAAAGCAACACCTTACCGTCGGTGCTTGGCGGCGGGTCTGGCATATGGGATTGAAGTTCACGGATTTCGGTCAAGCAGCGACGGAACTCGGCCACAAACTTATCCGGAGGGGGCGAGTGGATCAAGAACGCAGTGGTCTGTTGCAATCTCCCACCATTAATACCGTGGCTCTCCCCCGCCTCCGCAGAAGCGCCGAACGCATTCAACATGTGATGCAACCGACTGCCAGCCGCTACGTAGCGCGAACTCAGTCGCTGGTTCGTGTCCGGACCATTCTCCACACGACTCGTCAAAGACCCGTTGCTGTCCGGCCGGTAACCTTCCTTGTCTGCGCCACAACAATCGTCCTTGAGAATATCGCAGTTAGCAGTCAACCAATCGTAATTGAACAAGCTCTCATGTGACCACACCGCAATCAACCCGTTCTCGGCCTGGACGTCCTTTGACGTACATTCATCTACATCTGAGAGAAGTACAGGGTAATTCTATGGAGATGCGCTCGCGCACACGTGTGTGCGCCACGAAAGTTAGAGTGAAGCGACCATTCCGGAAGGACTTCGGCGCGTTAGTGATACCTAAGGCGGTCGTGTTGGGGGCCGTGAGGTTGCAAGTGCATGATTAGAGGCTTACCACGAATTGCACTTCGGTCGTCTGCCTTGTCTGTAGCCCATGATTCGCTTTTTGCTCTGACGATGAATTCATTAACCTTGCCGGGTTTCACGCCGTAAATTCTAAGAACGAGGATTTGTAGAGCGAGCTTCTGAATTTCACTGTTCTGATGGCATAAGGCGACGACTAGCGACTCGGTCGGGAATCGGTTAAGATCAAGGGCGCAAAGACCAAGGCTGGTGCTGTTGCAACCACTGGCATGGTTGGATCCGGTGGTGCAGACGCTGCCGGGCGCATTGAGGATGTGACCTCCACCAGAAAGCGGCAGGAAGAGCCCACCACTGCCTGGAGTGGGGCTGAGGCGGTAGCCATATAGTCCGCCGAAGGCGGTTGGAGACATGGGGGTGCTAGGCGGCACATGGCTGACCACTGCGCCGTTGGAGCTGGGAGAGTCCATTAAGTCCCACAAGGCCTCGATGAGTTCGCGTGTTCGTTCTTGAAAGGGGGGCCCGTCTCTCCGGAGCAATAAAAGCTGTCTGGCATGGTCTGTCACTTGGCTGTAGGGAATTTTGCTGAGTTGCGAAAGGCGACGAATTGACATGTCCAAATATTCCCAGTTGTTGATTAAAGGGAAGTGAGCCCGTAATCCTTTAACCAGGTTAAGCACTAACCGATTCTTAGCCCTGAGTCCTTGATGACTCCTCGCGCAATACAAAAGCTGCTCCGGGTCCATCTCTGGTCTTTTATTGTGGAGGACCAAACCGGCTACATCTAGGTCACTGTTGTGGAACATTTCCTCTACCTCCAAGTAACACTGCAGCATTGTTTGGACCTCGACTAAACAGGCTACTACCTGGCCATGGAAGAAACGCACGAGAACGGCTTCCACGAAAGACGGTTTCTCAGGACAGGTAGACAAAGTAAAATGCAGGTCTTGTACAACCTGTTGTAATTGCTCGTCGAAGCTGGCGCAGTATTCGTCCAGAATTACGATTTCATTATCCGTTCCTGAAGAAATTATTGGCTTAATTTTCGTTCCGACAGTCGCACCCGATATAGTCCCCGCAGCCGACCGAATCTTAGTCTCCTGTCCTACTTGGCTATCAGTACCCCGCACGACTTCTCGAATCAGGTCAGCTCCCCTGAGTAGCTCCGTTGCCCTTACTGGATCAGTCTTTGGATCACAGGAAGTATTCTCATAATTAGGTCTGTCAAAACTGCTAGCCTTGTCATATGCACTTCGTTCAAAACCTACTCCATTCCTGTCCAAGTGGCGATGTATATAGTCGGTGCTCTTCGCACTCTTCGTGCTACCCACTCCTTCACTCGGATACGAATTCGTTCCTCCAGCCGCGTTTTTCCTGGGCAAAGCAGCTTCCAAACTCGCTATGCCTTGAGTAAAGGCCTCGCGCATCATAACTGGTAGTTGCTTCTCAAATACCGAATAACATTGACGCAACTCCGCCAATGGTAATAATGGACATCTTATCAATAAATTGAAGAAAGCCGTCACACTTCGGTCTATCTCCGCATCCGTTATATGGTATCCGTCGAGGCAATCATACAGTCGTCGGCGGTGCTTCTCATACGCCCTTAGTGGGTTACAGTTTGGTTGTATTTCTGGGCTCATCAAAAAAATATTTGAAACTACCAACACGAATAGTAATCACCACTACTGATTGACACAGGAATTAGGATGTAATAATTAGGACGTGCTCGTTTGGGATAATGGATCCTTTGAGTGAAACAAGTTGTGAGCGAACTCGACAACAATATAGAAATTGTCATTAGTATGGTATGACCATAGTAAAATGGTCATACCATACTAATATGGTCAACGTCATTGTTCGTAGTGCGCTACTCTTTGTAACGCTCGAGATGACCCGAATATGTTGCAAAAATGTTTGGCAAACACGTTCGTGTTGCCGATCGAGCAAACAGCGCGAACAAAGACACCGAACATCATGAAGTACCCCGTAACTTAAGGTCTCTTTAAGGTAGCTTGGAGTCTTGCAGGAGCTTGCTGAAACTAATCAGCAAAAAGTTATCGTAGTAGTGCCGCAATGATGGTTGTGTCATCAGCTCTACCTTCCGCAGCAATTCTTCTCCGCCATGCAATCTCGGCTAATTTTCTGGTTTTGGCCAACAGTTTCTGTTGGGACTGCGGGGTATTGTGTATGTGCTCCAGTAAATCCAAGTATGTGGCAGTGTCCCAGAGTCCATCACTGGCCAGGACCAACAAAATTGGGTATCTATTGCCTGTATTGCCCGAAGCAGGCTGCTGCGGTTGGATTTCAATTTGGATTAGATCTGGTATGGCAGTTACGCCATACTGTCTGGCGGCCAAGTCCCCAAATGATCGGGAAACGGATAAACCGGCCTCGACGATCCTTGATATAGGTTTGGTAAAGAATGGTACATTGACTATTGAGATACTGCTTCCTACAGACCTTATTCTTTCAGCCTCACCTGGACAACCCGGATTATGCTCCGGCGTTTCCATCAAACAATCTACCACACACAAGCAGATGAGCATTTATCTACGTATAAGTGTCAGACTAGAATACCAGCGGTGGAATACCAGAGGTGGAATACCAGCGGTGGAATACCAGCGGTGGTGTACCAGAGGTGGTGTACCAGAGGTGGAATACCAGCGGTGGTGTACCAGAGGTGGAATACCAGCGGTGGTGTACCAGAGGTGGAATACCAGCGGTGGAATACCAGAGGTGGAAGTACCAGAGGTGGAATACCAGCGGTGGTGTACCAGAGGTGGTGTACCAGAGGTGGAATACCAGCGGTGGTGTACCAGAGGTGGAATACCAG